ATAAACCCCATGTGCATGGTGCTTGCTTGAGGAAATTCCAAGGAGAAGGTTAGTATCTTTATGATAGTCTCATAATGCAAATTAACAAGGTAGTAAAAATGCAATGCATTTCTCACCATATCATACTGTTATCTCTTTTCTTCAGTGATTACAGAAAATACTATAGAAAATAGTGTTGACATTGTTATCCTGACAGTGGAATACTAACGCAATAGCCAAGGTAGAATTAATACAAGATGAACTGCTGCTAAAAAAATAAAATTAGAAAAAAAAAGATATATGTAACTGCTATGGTAGCAGACTTACATTAACACTATTATCTCTTACTTACTCCCAGGTTCGCTATCAGGCATCTCTTCCCAATCAGCAAATGTTCCCTATACCAGCACTGAGTAAGTACATTGTCTTATCACTTGACTATGGCAAACATGTATTGGATGGATGGATGAATGGATGGGTGGGTGGGTGGATGGATGGATGGACGGACTGGATGGACGGACTGGATGGACGGATGGGATAGATAGATAGATAGATAGATAGATAGATAGATAGATAGACAGAAAAACATTTTATTATATAAAAAGATGCTTAATGAGACTCCTTTGGGATCTGCATTGTTTAATCTTCCCAAAAAAATGAACCACAGTAAAATTTCTTTAGGCTGATATCACTTTATTCAAAATAATATATAATTCAAAGCAACTGTTACCCCTAGTCCACAGCTGCCTGATCACTCTTTAATAAAAATCAGATAATGGAAAGCTAGTTCATCCAAAGCCTATTTTTTTTTCCATTCCCTTGTGTTTTACATTAAGAAGGTATCACTGTGTTTTAGAAAGCACATAAATGCCAAATACAGTCTTTCAAATTTATTTTCTGTTGGCGTTTGCACTACCAATAGCTCTAATCCTTTGTGTATTATTCCTTGCACAAGTCTGGGGGAAAAAAAACATTCCTGGACTTCTTTATTTCTAGAAAATCTGTAAGAATACGTAATTCTGACTGAATTGGGACTTTATATATCAGTAAGACAGATGATTAGTCTAATCCCAGTAAAGGACAGAAGAGCAGATGAACTCCTTAGCTCTTTGGGAGTCAAGCTTTCACAGGCATGGCTTCATTAATTTGTTTGAAGTGAATTCCCAAATCAGAAATATCTGTATTCAAATGGAAGAACAAAGATACATTCCAAAGCAGTTCCAAGGACACCTGGAATAACCATTTATCTGAAATACCTTTCTGCTCTCCACCATATGTACAAATAACAGTTTGGTCATGGCCTGAGTGGTAACTGTGCCTTTTAACTGGGTCCCTGAAGGAACTACTCTTTTCATGGCCCTTTTGTATCCGTTTATTCTTCCTCCTCAATCCTTCTGAATTTAAAATAGTAGTATTCTTTTTTTACCAGCAGCATAAAAACTCTTTATGTGAAATGAAGATTCACTCTTAATGTGAATTTCATATTATATATATTGCTGTATGTTATGTTTATGTGTAATTCTTTTTATGTTGTACATCATCTCACATTTATAGAGCAATTTTCTTAAACATCAAAATTCATTAAACATGGGATAGTCCACAGAGGATAAAGCTAGACAACATTTACTTTCTTCACTGTTTTTTGTATCTTTGTCAATGTCTTAGATTTAATAGTTAGATGCCCCCTTTGGAATATATATGCACTTTAACAAAATTTTTACAGTCATACACATACACACACACACACACACACACTCATGAAAATAAGGAGTAGGGATGCAGTAAGCAGGCAAATAAACCCATCTTAATCTCACTGTTGATGAGACCCAGTGAAGACAAGAGATAATGCCAAGTAAAAAATTCATTAATTTTATTTCACTTTCCTCTGCTTGATGAAGAGGAAGATAACTGAAGATGTTCCAGCACGGCAAGTCCAGAACACATGTCTACTGCCTCAAACCACAAAGCTTGCTCCCTGACAAGCACCACCACAAAAGCTCACAGTGACAGAAGCACCAATGGTTCACACTGTGTAAGCTCTAACTCACAAAGAATATGAATGGGATGTGTATAGTCTAAGTATATATTCTGGAGAACAAGTTGTGATGGAGAGAAGCACAAACCGGAGGTGATGAAATATTCTTCAGATAATCGCAGATGGATTTTTTTTTCTATAAGAGACCTTTACATTTCTATTACTTATGTTCTATGGTTCTATGGTTCTTGATCAGCCTTGAGAAGCTCAAAGTGGCTAACTGGTTAACAATTTCCTTTCCTTTTCCTTCAGAGCCCACATCAGTCATGCCAGATCAGTCATGCAAAAACACTTAAACTGTGTGGCTGTGTGTGGGGTTTTCTTCTTTCCTATCTTCATTTTGTTCACTAAGAGTATTTACAAAAATAAAGGCTCCTCACCAAAGTGCCTAAGCAAACAAATGAGAAAAGACATCAGGTTTAGGCATGGACTTTCTGGATTATTTTGTTTTCATTTTTTCCTCTTTGCTCAAATGAATGCATGCTATTTCCTTTAAATTACTGCCCAAAGCAAATGATGTGAAGCTGCTACCATCTCAAACAGCGCCCAGGCAAAATAATTTTATTAGCTATGTTTAGGTTAAAAGGTACACATGGCAATATGCTAGTACAACTGCAGCCATCTTGGGAGGGAACCAGCAGTCTCAAGATCTTTCCCTTTGCCTCTTCACACTGTAAATCTGACTTTCCAATAAAAATAGGTAAACGTTTAAGCAAACAAAAAAATACACTGTGTCAAACACACATATGAGAGTCTCACAGTGTGATGTACTGAGTTACGCTGTCTCCTACAGGACAGGCATCCTGTCCTGGCCACTCCACTTCCGATCCAACTCCCTGCTGATATGCCTCAGAAAGCAGTGGAGAATGGTCCAGGGCCTTAGGCTCTTGCACTTACTTGGGAGAACCAGATCAAGCTCTGCTCCTGCTGGCTCCTGGCTTGAACCTGGGCCCTTAGCGGAGTGAACTAGCAGATAGACCATCTATCCCTCTAGCTCACTCTCTCTCTAACTCTGCCCTTCAATAACATAAAATAAATATTTAAAAACATAGAGAAAAGGCATTTAGTATATTTTAAAGAGCTATCTTTGTGACAATTATAGGACAATTTTTAGTCAATGGGGAACTAACTGCATAAATTGCTAACATACTCTTCCGGAAAATGTTTAGCTCCCTATATGCAACTTAGTGTCCTAGAATGTAACTACTCAAGGGTTTATTTTGTTTTAGGAGACAATATGGGAAGAATATAACCAATAATATCTTACTTAATGGATACACTTAGGATGGACTTAAAGGCCTCAGTGTCTGTTCCAGTGCCTCATTCCAGCAGCTGTTGGTATTAAGAATATGAGATGTCGCCTTTTATGTGAATTAAAACTCACACAGTAAACACTTTACTGCAGTGGAGTGTGGCATTTCCAAAGAGTGATGACTATTCTAATTTTAAGAGCAAAGTGATCATGCTTCATCTGTTTCGAGGAATGTAATCTGTTTCTTTTTCGTACATTCTGAGAAGCCTTAAAACTAAACACAACAGGCAAAGGGGGAAATGTAAAGATCATTTAAGGGAATATTTTACTATATAAACAATAAACAATGGTGTCTGAACAACAACAAAAACAACAAAAACAACAAAGCCCCCATAAAACCAATACTTTAAAAAAGCCTCTTCACAGTACAAAATCAAAAGTTTTCTGTTCCATCATCCATTAAAATGTACCTCACAGTCTCTTTCCTGACTATTCTAAGAGAACTGAATATGAACATGTGCTCTATGCATTTACTGAAATTTTTCCTTTGTTTGCTTCTTTGCATTTTCTCATCCTAGAGAAACTCACACAAAAAAGTGAGATTCCAGATATAATAAACAATTCAACAAGGAGACAAGAAAGCCTATACATTAATTGATTTATTTCATATTCATAAAATTACAGCCTTATCATCTAAATAATATATGCTTTGAAAAAAATTGCAATTTTCCCCTGCAACTTTTTACCATTATTGTAATACATATGGGTCTAGTCTTAGGACATGGAAAAATGGAACGATGAACAAATGAATGTTGGTATTTTTGTATGTATCTACATCTGTAAAGAAAACTAAATATTTTATGTTTTCAATGTAGAAGGTAAATCTGAAATATTAAACTTCTAAATAACTGTATCACAAGTTTGGTAGAAGCTGAACCCTACCTTAATGGCTGCAATTATAACAAGCAGAATTTTCCCAAAGTTTTTAGTTTTAAGAAACAATGAGAAATCTTGTCACTTTCTGCGAGGATAGCTTTCATTTCTGTCCACAATCCCAGGATCTTCACAAAGTGCACACTGTGAAATTTCTTCTGTGTCTTACATGATAGTCAGCATTTTCTCTTTGCAAATGGGTTGGCACAGAGGGGAACAACATCTCTGGCCCATTTGAAACTCAGATTTAAGCACAGACACACACCAAAAACACTTGCTGAGCAGAAGAGTAAATCAGTCAGTTGGCAATGTACTGATCATTTCTGTGCTTTTTTTTTTTTCAAGTGAAGGTGTGGGAAAGTATCTATCGCTGAGCTGTAAGGGTCAGGGCTTATGCTCTATTAAACAAAACAAGGGAGCTGGCAGTGTGGTTCAATGGGTTAAGCCTCCACTAGCAACACAACAAATCAAGCCACTTCTTATGATGCTGGAATTCCATTTGGAGTGCTGATGGAGTTCCACTTGCTCTGCTTTTAATTTGGCTCCCTAAGAGTTCCACTGGGAAGGCTGCAGGTGATGGCCCAAGTACATAGGCTCCTGCCACCCACAGGGGAGACCAGGATGGAGTTCCTCACTCCTGACTTAAGACTGACCAGACCCAGCTGTTGCTGTCATTTCACAATGAACCAGTATATGTAAGATCTCTCTGTCTCTCCCTTCCCTCTGTCACTCTGCCTTTTAAATAGATAAATTTAAATAAACAAAGACCTTCACTTCGTTCTCATGAAAGAGTATACATACCGCGTCAGTGATATCCATCTCAGACACCCTTTGGAAAGTCCTGCGCTCAAAGAAAACAAGTTTGCCACTGCCACATCCTCTTTGAACAGATGTACCAGTGACAACGAGTTTATCATCTGGACTGAAACAGCAGTCAGTCCTATGGACAGAAAGAGTTTGTAAGGAAAAGCTTATGTTCCCCACAATAATGCAGTAATATAAGTGAATGAAATGAAGCATAAATATTACTGTACTAAGAGCCAACTCCTATGCAGGGTTTAATGTCAAGCATTTACATTCACTTGCTAAATCTTTACAATAATTCTATGAGATAGATGTCATCATCTCTTTTTTATTAAAGAGAAAACTGAGGCAGAGAGGTTAAATAAAACCTGCCTACCATCACAATTCAAACTTAGGCAGTCTCACTCCAGAATTTCTGCTTTTTAGTTTGTATATGTTAATATTTTTACTTTAAAAAGACTCTGGGAAAAAACTCTGTATAGGCACTGAGAGTTGTTCATGGACAAGTAAGTACATGTATGGCTAATGTTAAAAGTAGTGGCTAATTTGGTCACTTTCTTGGCTATTCTTACTACTACTACCATGACTAATATTATTCCCAAATAATTTCAGTTTTTTCAAGTCAGCTTCTTCATGCCACAAGGAGCGGGAAGACTGCTGACACCGAATTGATAGTTATTATTCAATAACTCCTGTTATCAGAGCTCAGACCACAGGACTGTGAATAATCAAAAACACAACTCAAAGAGGTTATTTAGTTAACATTATTCAAAGCAGGCACAACAGTTTATAAAATATGCATAAAATACAAATTCATATCTGTCCATCTCTTCATTTGTTCTAAAATATAAATGCTCTGGTTTTTACATAGTTTCCTTCATGAGATGTTTGCATTATCTTCTCACTCTCCCTGTTGATCATTATTTAATAAAATTTCATTTCTAACAAAATAAGAAAAATTTTCCTAGGGACCAGCAGTAGAACTTAAATGTCAAGTTCCACCTCAGTTGTCTCAGCAAAATCTTTAAAAGTTGACAACATTGTACAATGAAGGTAACATTGTTCAACTACCCAAAGAAAGACTGTCTGAACAACTAAAAGACACATGTACATACGAGTACACACACAAATGTCATTCTAACTTTAAAAAAAGTTATCTGAGTAACAGAAGAAATGAACAGAAAAAATAAAATGCACCTTAAAAAACGAGATTTCAATCACTTCCTAAAAGATGGAGGACACAAATTAACTCTAAGGTAAAGAAATTTCTTCTCCATTTTTTTTTTGTTGTTGTTGTTGATAAAACATTTAAAGTACTCCACTTACATTGGAAACATGGTGGGAAGCCCAGAGGCTGAAAAGAGTGGCTTATTAAATTGTCGAATATCCCATAATTTTAATGTATCATCACCTAGCAGAGGAAAATAGAGGGGAAAAAGTCAAAAAGGTGAAATTTGCAATAAGAATTCATTCAAGTTTAGAGTTTGCTAAACTTTTGTGAATGATTAAAAGGAAGGACAGCAATGAAGGGAAGAAGAGAGCAGGGAAAGAAAAGAAAGGCGGTAGATGCATTACAAACATAGTTTATTTTTTTAACTGTTCAGGGAGCTTGAAAACAGTAGTAGTTGCAAGAACAGTAGGAAGCTATCTGATGATGAACCAACCTTCCAGACACAGCTTCCCCAATTGATGGAGTGTCTGAGGTGAGTAGAAACCCAGACACTCTACAGCACACTTTCAGAGCAGATGGCAGTTCCCCCTGGTATACTTGAGTATAACCTGACTTCTTGGGAAGATCATAATTTAACAGCCCTCAAGGCCAACAACAGATTCTTTTTCCCAGTGGTGTGTGTGTAAAACTATCCATTAACATTAATGAAGGTGAGCAATGTGATTTCCCTCTGTAAGTGTAATTGTACCTTGCGGCTATTATTCTTCTCTCTACTGGGGAGGACAACTTTTTCAAGCCATTTAAAGCATAATGAATATTCTTTTGAGGATTCATTTTATTATCTTTCTATTGGGCTAGTAATTTGTTGCCAGAAAACAGACAAGCTCATATACGAAATGTCTTTGCTGTGATTTGCTGCCAGTGCTCACAGCTCACAGCTTACTTGATCTCTTGGGTCCAACAAGGAATCAAGAATCAGGTGCAAATGAGGTGGCTGGAGAATTCTATGAAAATCCCTATCTCCCCCGTGACCCTTACTCTAAAACACAACTTTTGGGAGGTACTCAAATACACAACTGGCTGGATTTGGGGCCTACTTGTATTGGGAGAACTCAGTAAGGCTCACCTTTGGAATGTTGCCATATTGGCTTTGGTCTTTAAGGGGGAATAAAAAGGAAGAGGGGCTTATATCCTCAAAAAATAAGAGAACATTCATCTGTATTAATTTCAGATAACCCAATAGGTTCTGGAGCTGGTAATAACACTTATAAAGCCCTAGAAACTGTTGAATGGATTTTAATCTACCAAAATCTCTAAATCCAGAAAGGAAAATTGTTAGAATGCATTACATATAGAGAGTTAATTAATTAAATTGCCCAACAGCTATTACAGGGAGAATTAACAATTATTGCCAAAATAGCACTGACTGAAATACAATTAGTCCTTATAGTAATGATCAATTGGTTCAAGGTTTGGATATTTTAGATTTCTCTGGAGAGTCACTTTCTAGCTACCCTCATGTACTTTCCTCTTCCATTCAAATACAACCTCATGTACTTGGGTATCCCATGTTGATGAGATCCAAGGGTGGCCAACACACACTAACAAGAGCATATCTAGGTTTACAAACTGCTAGGATTTTAACTTGACATTTGTTAATGTTACATATCATAATTTTATATAGAGAAACACATCAAAAGAGTTTTTAACCTACCTCCACGAGAGGCCAGGACATTCCCATCATAGGAAAAAGTCACGCAAGAAGTGTCTGTGCCTGGGATGTGAGCTTGTTTATAGTGAAATTTAGGATGAACCTGTTTGTAAAGGCAAGTAAAGTGTTAACATCTCACCTCAAATCAGATGAGAACATTTTGGTGACAAGAACATTTTATCATGTGGAAAATGATATATTCTTAAGGACAAAGTACTAATTAATCTGATTACAGGTCACTTCATTCCAAAAGGTATCTGTTGGGGGAGGGTTTAAAACTTTTCCTTTTTGAATAAAGAAAAGATAAGGTAAATTGTAGTAGATACAATTTTCATACTCCCTTAGAAAATGCTGAGAAACACAAAATTATAGCATTTAGTTCTTGGTATTACGTTTATGATATCCTTGGACTACTTCTCCTATTATTCTAAAAGCAAATATAAGTAGTCTAAATAAATACATTATTTATTTACCTAAAAATATGTATTGTATTCCTTGTATATACCAGTCATTATAAACGTAGTTGTAGATTATAAACCATTTTTTAAAAGATTTATTTATTTATTGGAAAGTCAGATATACAGAGAGGAGGAGAGACAGAGAGGAAGATCTTCCATCTGATGATTCACTCCCCAAGTGAGCACAACGGCCCATGCTATGTCGATCCGAAGCCAGGATCCAGGAACTTCTTCCAGTATCCCACACGGGTGCAGGGTCCCAAAGCTTTGGGCCGTCCTCGACTGCTTTTCCACGCCACAAACAGGGAGCTGGATGGGAAGTGGAGCAGCCGGGATTAGAACCAATGCCCATATGAGATCCCAGTATGTTCAAGGCGAGGACTTTAGCTGCTAGGCCATGCCGCCGGGCCCGATTATAAACCATTTTAAATGTGCTTGTTGGAAGATGATGATAATAATAACAGTAACAATATCAGCTAACTCCAACATAATGTTTATTACATCTTAGGCATCACACCACTGGGTTTGCCGCATCCCATACGGGAGTGCCTGGTTCAAGTCCTGTGCCCATTTCTGACCTGGCTTACTGCCTGAAAAGCGGCCAGTAATGGCTTAAGAGCCACCTAGATCCCTGCCACATATGTGGAAGACCCATGCTGAGTTCCTGGCTCCTGGCTTCAATCTGGCCAAGCCTTGAATGTGATATAATTTGAGGAGTAACCTAGCAGACTAAAAATCTCCCCCCACCTCCAACACTCTACCTCTCTCTGTTTCCCAAGTAAAAGTAAATGTTGAAAAAATTGTTGCTGAAATACAAACTCTTATTACCAAGATGGAAGCAAGCACAAGGCTACATAGAACTCATGCATACTGACACCTGAATGTCCCCTCACATTTATTTCTATAGAAATTTTATTTCTCATTAGGATTACATTACAAGTAAACACTTCTAAACAATTCTTCATGCCCACTCATATATTACTTGTTACATTACTTGTTACACCAGAATTAAAAATCTGCCAGGACTATTAATAGGCCAAGACTAAATAAATAAATAAGTAAATGCAAGACTGCTATAACCTCCTCCTTTCCCTCTGATTTTGAAGATAAATGGGATGAAGTACACCAAAATACAGGAATTATCATATAAAGTGATCTGGAAAAAAATCTCTATTAATTGAACTAATATTTATATGCCATATACTGTTACAGGCATTGAAGGATTTAGTGGTGAATAAAATAATGACACTATTATCACAAAGCCTTCATTTTATTGAGAAGAAATGACCAATAAGATATTTTTTAATGGATAGTATACTGATCAATTAACATAACAATGAGATTATCGTGACTAAAAGGACAGGTTGTGGAACCAGACTGTCAAGTTCAAATCGTTGCTCTACAATTTACTCTCTGTATGATGCTGGGCTGGTTAATCTCTGTTTGCCTATATCTTTCTTGTAAATGAGAATAGCAACAGGACCCCTTCATATTAGGAGAACATAATTATACCCATACACTAAGTTAACACTAGTATGGCAAAGCTCCCTGCAATACAATTCTGCTGTTCCTTTCACCAATATGTAGTATCTATTTTTCTATGCTTTGTGTCCAGGTACAGGAGCGAGTCACTTTGGTTAACATGATGTGCAGCCTTGAAAACATGTCACTCACAGGCCCAGCACAGTAGTCTAGTGGCTAAAGTCCTCGCCTTGCTTGTGCTGGGATCCTATATGGGTGCTGATTTGTATCTCAATTGCTCCACTTTCTTTTCTGTTCCCTGCTTGTGGACTGAGAAGGCAGTCAAAGACGGCCCAAGGACTTGGGACCCAGGACCTGTGTGGGAGACCTGGAAGAAGCTCCTTCCTACTGGGTTCGGATTGATTCAGCTCCAGCTGTTGCAGTTACCTGGGAAGTGAAACAGAGGATAGAAAATCTTCCTCTCTGTCTTTCCTACTCTCTGTGGATCTGGCTTTCCAATAAAAATAAATAAATCTTAAAAAAAATATGTCACTCAGATCTCCCACAGTGAAAATGTCTGACACTCTCACTTCCCTGCTACTAGGCCATGCTCCCAATGTCTGCTCCCACCAAGGCCAGAGGTGCAGAGTATTAGACTGAAACATTGTTGGCAGCTCTGTACTGTCCTCCAAACTCTGCACCACCTTCCTATGCTTTACTTTTAACATTATGATTTTTATCAAGTTATGGCTTACACGCAATGCAATCTGCCCACTTAAAATGTGCAGCTCACGTTTCTTAGTCTATTCAGAGTTGTGCAACCATGACCACAATAAATCTATTTTTACCACTCCAAAAAGAACCCCTCTACACAAGATTATAGGTCCCCATTTTTCTCTTACACCTTAGCACCAAGCAACTAGTACTGTAGGCTATAGATGGATCTATTCTGAATAGTAGTACAAATGAAATCATCTAAGATACTATCTTTTTATGTTCTCGAGGTTCATCCATGTTGTGTGGATTTACCCTTCATTTCACTTTATGGCCAAATAACATTCACTGTACGAATGCACAACATTTTATGTGTCAATTCATCAGCAGACAGACATTCAAGATTCCATTCTTTCCTCCTCTTTCACAAGGGTCTGATCTTCATCATGGTCTGACTTACACTTGTCTTCTCTGGATCCTTGCCAATTTTCCCGTATGGCTGCCTCTCCAATAAACCTCTTCAGTGTTTAATACTGTTTGGCTATCTCCATCTCAGAAGACCCAGACTAACATAGTAGTGCAACGAGTGATCCAACAACACACATGGTAAGATGGAAATCTGGGACTGATTCATTCATTGGCTTTTGGGCAAAAAAGGTGTTGTGCTAAATAGAGTATGAGGCGCAGACAGACCACAGCACTTGGTAGTGGTCCAACTGCTTCAGACCTCACCACAGACAACTTGATTGGAGAAAATATCCCTAAGGATGTAATGTTTTAAGCATTTAAAGAGTTATAGGAAAGAACTCCATCTACAAACACAGCAGTGTTGCTGGTTACTACTAAGTCATACTGACACTCTGCTGAGAGATGATGAGAAATTGAGGGCCATTAACAGTTAAACATTAAGTAGAAGAACTAGAGGACCACTTTAGCAGCTTTCAAGGAGACTGTCATGTCCTGCTGTGGTAGATTGAATCCAACTGAGCAACAAACAGAAGATCTGCTAGGCAGACTTAACAGAACTTTAGGGATATTTAAAAACTCAGCCTAGATGAGTCAGGACCCTAGATAGGGGGAAAAAAACAAACTGGGATCATGGAACAAGATATCTGGATCGATGCCCCACAGCACACTGGATCCATAACCACACCCCCAGAGCCCTTGTAACACTCAGTTTAAACAGGGGCTCACTCCTTTTGAGTACTCACTTTCCTAGAAGCTGGGAGATGCTATAAAGGACTCTCCCACAGTTAACAAGTAATTCCTCTTAGCACCTGTCCCTATCACCTCTCCTGGATGTCAGGACAATAACTAGAGTTAAATTCCAATTACTCAGCTGCAAAAATGTTGGGCCAGATAAAGGAGGAAAGAGATTATAAAGAACTGCAACAATTAGTTGCAAACTACTGGCAGGACCTATAAAATACCTTGAGTTTGGATCCTGAGGATGCTTGATCAAGAAAGCTGGGGTATAAGACTAGATGTACTAAAATTTGGGAACCAATTTTTAAACATAGGCTCTAACACTCTGGCAAAGGATCACAGGGGATGGGTCAAAACTGCTGCTACAAGCCTGTTACATGTCTAGACGTGCCAGAGATGATAGTCAATATTGTTCTCTGTTTTTGCCCGCCCATCCTACTTTTTCTTTTTGTTCAATGAAAGATTTACAGAAAGAAAGAGAGAGAATGTTTCATTGACTGGTTCACTCCTCAAATGGCCTAAACAGCTGGAGCTGAGCTGATCGGAAGCCAGGAGCTTCCTCTGGGTCTCCCACATGGGTACAGGAGCCCTAGATCTTGTATCATCTCCCACTGCTTTTCCCAGGCCATTAGCAGAGAACCGGATCAGAAGTGGAGTAGCTAAGATTAGAACTGGCATCATATGGGAGGCTGGCTCTGTAAGATAGAGGATTAGTTTATTGAGCCATCACACCAATTCCTGTAGTAAATGTTGTAAAGTAAAAATGTCGAGGGCTGGCATGTTGACTTAACTGGCTAACTCTCTACCTCCAAGCGCCAGGATCCCATATGGGTGTCAGCTTGAGTCCTAGCTGCTCCACTTCCCATCCAGCTCCTTGCTTATGGCCTGGGAAAGCAGCAGAGGATGGCCCAAAGCCTTGGGATCCTGTACCCGCATGGGAGATCAGGAAGATGCTCCTGGCTTCAGATTAGCTTAGCTCCAGCCACTGCAGCCATTTAGGGAATGAAGCAATGGATGAAAGGTCTGTCTCTCCTTCTCTCAGTAAATCTTTCCAATAAAAAAATAAATATTTTTAAAATAATAAAAATTTAAACAATAAAGTAAAAACTCCATAATTGCCATAGAATGGATTTGAGAAAATAGCAAGAAAGGGGCATTCTAAAATAGATAAAATTTTGTCAAGCCAAAAAACAGAGAATTGTATTTTTCATGTGAAGGCCCAGAGAAAATGCCATTCATCAAAGCCATCAGGAATGCAAAGGGA